CAGTCATGCAAATATCCTGGTCTCGGCACCAAATTGTGAATAGCATTACAGAAATACAGGTTTCCGACAATGATACAATCATCACCTGTATACCATTTATTCCAAAACTACTCCGGTAAAAATACAGCGGTAAGAAAGTGTCCAACTGGAACAGGTACGCAGTAAAAACAGAAATTGAACTGCACACGAGCAGAAGTTAAACAAATACTGATTGGTCAATACCAACCATGTGCGGACGTAGATTGATTAACATAATTTATGCATTTCACTTGGATATCGGCAGTATCGCCATAACATCGAATATAACAATAATAACTCCAAAATTAATAACAATATTAATGTTCACGACAATGATACATGCCATGACGGATACTATTATGGGATGTGACACATCATCAATAAGAGGGTGTCAGAAAGAGGCATAGCCTCTCAAGACATATTTGACATGATTTCACCCTGTAGATTAAAAATGCAATTTTATTTATAAATAACCAAAATGATTTTAACCAAATAGATTAGATTAGAAAAGCCGATTTGATAATATAAATGGCGGTTGTTTTTGCGATGCATGTTCTTGTATACAACACATATGAAATACATTGTTTATTTACTTAAAATTTGCATAGCATTTAGAATAAATTCTATATACTCACAACTAGAACCAATACTCTCATCTCTGGCCAGTGATCAACATCAGCTACAACTTTAGCAATGCTATCTGATCCATTTTTCTTTTCTCCCACGGTCCACTGTACAAATCCACCATATATACTACGACAAGCGCTACCAGACCCCCGTCGAGCTATGTCAGAAACGTCACCGTTGATATCATACAACTTTGATAAAGTGTAAACTAGAAAGCATGGAATAAACAAAACACGTTAATATATTTTTCAAAATGTAAGGAAACAATTCTTAACTTTTAAGTTTGGCTGCAACGAATGTTTAGCTCTTCTGATCTCTCAAATTTTTCAACCATTTTCTATTTACGGCAAGATCCTGCGTTATGTGTGAAATCAAACTTAAAAACCAGACAAACAAAGGTTGTTGTGGCATCAAAACATTGCATGGGATTTGATAAACACAAAACTATATTTGGGGGTATTTACATGCTTTAATAATTTGCTGTACACATTTGATGATGGTCAATTTTGATGAAGTGACGCCATATTCTTCTGTATTTGAATTGCAACTTTGAACATTATTCAAAAGCATTGCCTAATGACACTTTAACAACTGAGAAACGATCACCAACATCATGAATATTATTGAAAATTTGACGATCAGTACACTTCTTTAACAATTTACACATATTTCACATAATAGTTGCCAGACCTCAAATAAAACATTAATTTAAAACTTAACCTTTTCACCACCAGTTCCCTCTTTTCATCACAAATTCACAAAATAGTCCTGTTTATAGTCTGCACTTTCCTTCAGAAGATTTGGACAAAAATAGGCAAATTCTTTGAGTAAAAACTGAAAATTGATTCAAATTTTGTCTGTTGGCTCCAAAATTAGGGTTCATTTCCAGAAATATTGAAGCATATAAAAAAAAAAGTGCAGAAAAATTTGGGCAAGAAAATCTAGTGGGGAAAAGGTTAAATAAGTACTGTGATCAGACCAGTCATTTATTATTGATATCAAAGACATGGATACAGAATCATGTGTCAGAATTATGATTTCAGCCTACCGTACTTATCCGGGTAAAAGCCCATGCCTGGACAAACGCCCACCCCCCACTTTTGACACAATAAAGAAGTTGAGGTCATGTCCGGGCACACGCCCAGGGGGTCTTTTTCTACACAAAACAAAAAACTATTTTCTATTCGTTGACTGTGGTTGTATTAACAGTTGACTTTCTTGAAGTTTGTCGTGATACTTATAACAAGCAGCCTATCGGCTAAGATAGCTCCGCTGTTAGCAATGCACATTTCAATTAAAGAACTGAAGACACCATTAGAAAATGAATAATATGTATAGTATCAAAGCAATCGGACATACAGTTTTTAACAAGAAGTCGAAAATATCACTTTTTACCAAAAATGACAAAAATATTCACCAAAATTAGAGAATTGAAGATATCATCACAAAATGAACAAATCTGAGAGAGGTCCACATGTAGTACCTATATATGTAATATTAAAGCAATCAGACTATTGGTTTTTTACAAGAAGTCGAAAATATCACTTTTTACCAAAAATGATAAAAATATTCACCAAATTTATAGAATCGAAGATATCATCACGAAACGAACAAATCTGAGAAAGGTCTACATGTAGTATCTAAATATGTAATATCAAAGCAATTGAACTATTGGTTTTTAACAAGAAGTCGAAAATATCACTTTTTACCAAAAATTACAAAAATATTCACCAAAATTAGAGAATTGAAGATATCATCACGAAATGAACAAATCTGAGAGAGGTTCACATGTAGTACCTATATATGTAGTATCAAAGCAATTGGACTTGCGGTTTTTAACAAGAAGTCGAAAATATCACTTTTT